TCAACAAATAAACAGCTCAATTCCCAAACCTCACTTAACTTATATATATATTTATGTAAAATAAACATGGTACTTGAAGATTCTAAAACGTGAAGTTAGTGAATAATCAAAATACATTGAAAAGCTATACTCACGCCAAATTCGTTATGAATTTTCTAAGTATGTTAATTGAGTATAAAGAATATTTTTATGCACTATTTCTTAAGTGGTTGAAGAGCAAGACACACATGTGACCGCCGTCTACCATCACAAACCAGAGAGTGGGCTTGGTCCGCCGTCCATCGGGAAAAATCCCTGTGCCCCAGAAAAATGTCGATGAACCCCCCCCCCCCCCAACCCTTATAGGAAAAAATCTCGATGGATCCATAGGAAAGATGCTGTAAAAGTCCCAGTAGAGTTTTCTTTTTTAATTGTTTAATGTAAGAGATCTCATTTCTCCACTTTACCATTTCCATTCCCTTTATAAATAAACTTGAAATTCAGGCTTTGGTATAGAAAAAAAAAATGTAAAAGAAAACTGCGATCAGGGATTGGATCCCCCTTTTAAAACTTCCCGGGTCTCTAGGACACAGTCCATCTAACACACCGGTATGACCTCCACCAACCATCACAAAAAACACATCTGTATGACCTACATCTACCATAACAACAAACACACCTGTATGACCTACATCTACCATCACAACAGACACACCTGTATGATTTACATCTACCATCACAACAAACACACCTGTATGACCTACATCTACCATCACAACAACACACCTTTATAACCTACATCTACCATAAAAACATACACACATGTAAGACCTCCATTTACCATCACGTCTGTATGATTTATATCTACCATTACAACATACACACCTGTATGACCTGCATCTACCATTACAACAAACACACCTGTATGACCCTCCATCTACCATCACAACTAACACACCTGCATGACCTACATCTACCATCAAAATAACACACCTGTATGACCTACATCTACCATCACAACTAACACATTTGTATGACTTACATCTACCATCACAACAAACACTATGACCTACATCTACCATCACAACAAACACACCTGTATGACCTACATCTACCATCACAACAAACACACCTGTATGACCTACATCTACCATCACAACAACACACCTGTATAACCTACATCTACCATAAAAACATACACACATGTAAGACCTCCATTTACCATCACGTCTGTATGATTTATATCTACCATTACAACATACACACCTGTATGACCTGCATCTACCATTACAACAAACACACCTGTATGACCCTCCATCTACCATCACAACTAACACACCTGCATGACCTACATCTACCATCAAAATAACACACCTGTATGACCTACATCTACCATCACAACTAACACATTTGTATGACTTACATCTACCATCACAACAAACACTATGACCTACATCTACCATCACAACAAACACACCTGTATGACCTACATCTACCATCACAACAAACACACCTGTATGACCTACATCTACCATCACAACAAACACACCTGTATGACCTACATCTACCATCACAACAAACACATTTGTATGACTTACATCTACCATCACAACAACCACACCTGTATGACCTCCCTTATTAACCAGCTCCATGTGCACCCCATCCGCGATCTTATAATCCGACAAATCAAAATGAGCCAGTAGAGGGTCGTACAGCACATCGTTAGTCAGGATGTTGATGGGGGACTGTCTCACACCACCACAGTTGGGGTAATAGAAGCTCCAGTTCCCTGGGCATGAGGGGGGGGGTGTAAAAGAAAAAGTTTACAAATGTTAAATAGTCTTTTTTAAATGAATTATAGCTTGACGAAAAAAAAATGCTTTTTTTTAAACAATGACTTCAGAATTTTTTTACTATAACGTAATCCTTACCGTCACAACGTCCATTAATTTTTTACCGAGAGATACAAGAAAACTACTCACAGTTAAGTGTGGTAGTCAGAGCTGGGTATGGTAGTCAGAGCTGGGTGTGGTAGTCACAGCTGGGTGTGGTAGTCAGAGCTGGGTGTGGTAGTCAGAGCTGGGTGTGGTAGTGCTGGTTGTGGTAGTGCTGGGTGTGGTAGTGCTGGGTGTGGTAGTCAGAGCTGGGTGTGGTAGTCAGAGCTGGGTGTGGTAGTCAGAGCTGGGTGTGGTAGTCACAGCTGGGTGTGGTAGTCAGAGCTGGGTGTGGTAGTCAGAGCTGGGTGTGGTAGTCAGAGCTGGGTGTGGTAGTCAGAGCTGGGTGTGGTAGTCACAGCTGGGTGTGGTAGTCAGAGCTGGGTGTGGTAGTCAGAGCTGGGTGTGGTAGTCAGAGCTGGGTGTGGTAGTGCTGGGTATGGTAGTCAGTGCTGGGTGTGGTAGTCAGAGCTGGGTGTGGTAGTCAGAGCTGGGTGTGTTAGTCAGAGCTGGGTGTGGTAGTCAGAGCTGGGTGTGGTAGTGCTGGGTGTGGTAGTCAGAGCTGGGTGTGGTAGTGCTGGGTGTGGTAGTCAGAGCTGGGTGTGGTAGAGCTGGATGTGGTAGTCAGAGCTGGGTGTGGTAGTCAGAGCTGGGTGTGGTAGTCAGAGCTGGGTGTGTTAGTCACAGCTGGGTGTGGTATTCAGAGCTGGATGTGGTAGTCAGAGCTGGGTGTGGTAGTCAGAGCTGGGTGTGGTAGTCACAGCTGGGTGTGGTATTCAGAGCTGGATGTGGTAGTCAGAGCTGGGTGTGGTAGTCAGAGCTGGGTGTGGTAGTCAGAGCTAGATGTGGTAGTCACAGCTGGGTGTGGTAGTCAGAGCTGGGTGTGGTAGTCAGAGCTGGGTGTGGTAGTCAGAGCTGGGTGTGGTAGTCAGAGCTGGGTGTGGTAGTGCTGGTTGTGGTAGTCAGAGCTGGGTGTGGTAGTCAGAGCTGGGTGTGGTAGAGCTGGGTGTGGTAGTGCTGGGTGTGGTAGTGCTGGGTGTGGTAGTCAGAGCTGGGTGTGGTAGTCAGAGCTGGGTGTGGTAGTCAGAGCTGGGTGTGGTAGTCACAGCTGGGTGTGGTAGTCAGAGCTGGGTGTGGTAGTCAGAGCTGGGTGTGGTAGTCAGAGCTGGGTGTGGTAGTCAGAGCTGGGTGTGGTAGTCACAGCTGGGTGTGGTAGTCAGAGCTGGGTGTGGTAGTCAGAGCTGGGTGTGGTAGTCAGAGCTGGGTGTGGTAGTGCTGGGTATGGTAGTCAGTGCTGGGTGTGGTAGTCAGAGCTGGGTGTGGTAGTCAGAGCTGGGTGTGTTAGTCAGAGCTGGGTGTGGTAGTCAGAGCTGGGTGTGGTAGTGCTGGGTGTGGTAGTCAGAGCTGGGTGTGGTAGTGCTGGGTGTGGTAGTCAGAGCTGGGTGTGGTAGAGCTGGATGTGGTAGTCAGAGCTGGGTGTGGTAGTCAGAGCTGGGTGTGGTAGTCAGAGCTGGGTGTGTTAGTCACAGCTGGGTGTGGTATTCAGAGCTGGATGTGGTAGTCAGAGCTGGGTGTGGTAGTCAGAGCTGGGTGTGGTAGTCACAGCTGGGTGTGGTATTCAGAGCTGGATGTGGTAGTCAGAGCTGGGTGTGGTAGTCAGAGCTGGGTGTGGTAGTCAGAGCTAGATGTGGTAGTCACAGCTGGGTGTGGTAGTCAGAGCTGGGTGTGGTAGTCAGAGCTGGGTGTGGTAGTCAGAGCTGGGTGTGGTAGAGCTGGATGTGGTAGTCAGAGCTGGGTGTGGTAGAGCTGGATGTGGTAGTCAGAGCTGGATGTGGTAGTCACAGCTGGGTGTGGTAGTCAGAGCTGGGTGTGGTAGTCAGAGCTGGGTGTGGTAGTGCTGGGTGTGGTAGTCAGAGCTGGGGGTGGTAGAGCTGGATGTGGTAGTCAGAGCTGGGTGTGGTAGTCAGAGCTGGGTGTGGTAGTCAGAGCTGGGTGTGGTAGTCTGTGCTGGGTGTGGTAGTCACAGCTGGGTGTGGTAGTCAGAGCTGGGTGTGGTAGTGCTGGGTGCGGTAGTGCTGGGTGTGGTAGTCTCCATCTTTCTCAGTAACGTGCTGCCTTCAATTTTTCATTTAGTTGGTTTACATTAATGTTATGTCATACATTCAATGTACACGTATCTCAGTATACACTTCAAGTGCCCAATGTAAGAATTGTTTTATTTGAACCGTCTAGGAAAGGTACATGTGAGCACTGTGAAAATGTGGCTATAAACAATTCTTAACAACTTTATTTTATTTACAAATGCAATACATATTAATTAATAAATGAACATTAAAGAATTTACAATGAAATAACAAAAATGTGCTTAAATAACAATAATGTGGTAAAAATAGCAACGCTTAATTGGCATTTGTTTTTTTACGTTACATGTATACCAGGCATTTTTTAATACAACATATATCATACATATTTTTAACATATCTATCCCACACATTTTTATATAACATCTATCCTACACATTTTAAAGTAAACTTTTATCCCACACATTTTTAAGAAGACTTTTATCCCAAACATTGTTTTCTGTGACATCTATTACAGCATTCTAAAACGCATATACGTCACCTATCTGCTGTATGACATCTGAAAATCGATTTGAATAGCTGAAACCAGCTTCATATTTAATTAGTTTACGGTTTGGCAAAATTGTGTTTAAATTAGTTAAACAAGGTAGAAGGAAGTAACTCCTCCACTCACATCTGTTTAAGTTGAATATTGGGTGAAATGTACACGGTTAATTCAGGGGAGAGCATTGCTCTACGATAATTTTAACCTAGGGAAAATCACGTATGTCTGAGCCAGATTATCTACCTCTAACAACTATATACCAGTCATACATAGGGAGGAGACTTTGTGAATATCACTACCATCATAGTAATCATGATTTCAAGCTAACTAGACAGTGTGTATTCAATGAAACACTCCAACATCTGACGATCACAGGAAAAATGGATGCTAGCATTGCAACTCGCTATAGACTAAACATTTCATAGAAAAATAATATTAAATTATTTCCTAAAACTGAGTTACCGTGTACGCGAGTAAAATTATCTGGCTTGTTGTGACCCACCCCTCCCCGGCTGTAATCCCGACCCCCAGGCTCCTTCCTGTGTACTCCCTACGCTGATTCAAATTCTTTGTTGTGTACACCCTACGCTGATTCAAGTTCTGAGGGGGTCGGAAGTTATCCACCATCGGATTTTGGTCGCGAGTTTGGAGGTTCCGGAACATGTTTAACTGCAAGATAGAAAATGTTTAACTGCTAGATAGAAACGTTTTAACTGCTAGATAGAAACATTTTTAACTGCTAGATAGAAACATTTTTAACTGCTAGATAGAAACATATTTTTTATTGGAAAATAGAAACATGCTGGGCCGCGAAGATATTTAAACCAAAAACAGTTAAACTCCTTCGAAGCAAATGCTGTCTTATAAACGATCACATTAATTACTTGAGGGACATGATAAAAATCTAATTTATCTTTTCATGTATGCCAAATTTTAATTCATTCTGTTAGGGTGTCTTACATATTTTATTACATAGACGTGTGGTTGATTTAAAAAAAAACATTGTCTTCAGTTTGAGTGTGACGGATTGGCACCTACCATTCTAAAAAAAACAACTTGTATGCGCATATGCATATTTTAGCAGCCCAAGGCCAAATACACATTTAAAAACAATAAAATAGAAGTATACAAGTAAATAAAAGTACGTAACAAGTTCACATGTCCATACAAGTATACAAGTACACATTAGTACATAAAAGTAGATGCAACCATAGTGGAACATAAAAGTTTGTAAAAAAAATTTCATGCAAACGTACAATTACAGAAGTGAATAAAAGTAAGTGTGAACACATAAAAAACACACGCAGATAAAAGTATGTATATAACCCCACTGTTACATATCGGTCTAGATGACCTCCAGAGTACTGTGTCCTGTTGGGGGATGGGCCACCAACCAAAGATCTTCAGAGTCCTCTGTGCTGCTGGGGTATGAGCCACCAACCAAAGATCTTCAGAGTCCTCTGTGCTGCTGGGGTATGAGCCACCAACCAAAGATCTTCAGAGTCCTCTGTGCTGCTGGGATATGGCCAAAGATCTTTGGAGTCCTCTCTGCTGCTGGGGTATGAGCCACCAACCAAAGATCTTCAGAGTCCTCTGTGCTGCTGGGATATGGCCCACCAAACAAAGATCTCCAGAGTCCTCTGTCCTATTCCATCTTACCAATCTGACTCCAGGTGTCGCCCATCTTTGTGTTTTCAGCCTCAAGGCCACGTCGCCTTTATTTTCTTCGCTTTCCTTGAGGGTTCCACCTCAACGTCTGCCTGTTGGTTGTCCCTCTGCCCGATCCAACTATCTTCTTCTCTTAATTTCTTCTTCATCTGCAAGTTGCCCTGTTTCCCATAAGTGAACGTTTGTGATGATTTTGTGTCAGCGGATATTGATTACTTGTCTGAAGCAGCTGTTTATAAGGTCGTCTTTGTCGTCCGCCAAGTCTCCGCCCAATTCAACAACACTGATTTTACGTTGGAGTTGAACAGACGCATCTTGGTGGTCAAAGAGAGCTCACTGGAAATCCAGATGTCTACTAGCTGTGTGAAGGCTAGTCTTGCTTTACCTATCCTCGCTTTAAAATCAGAATCTGTTCCTTCTCGTTGTCCACAGGAGCAGATATTAAAGCGAGGATAGGTAATGGTAATATAGAACTATAATAAAATAATAGAAAAAAAACTGTCTCGGGTCTCTTTTTTTCCAACAAGCTCAGTCAAACCTTTAGAAAACATTGTAGAATATATATCTCAAAGATCTCAACAAGGTCATTCTAACTTTTAGAAAACAACATTGTAGAATGTACATCTCAGAACCCAAAAAGCAACCTTGACCATCCTAACCCACCTACTGACCTGAGATTTTGAGATGGGAATAAACTCTGTGGCCACTGACCAGATGACCGACTCGTGACAAGGGGGATAGGTCAGACTGCCGTCGAAACGGTAGTAGTCCAGATTGTTTAAGTCGGGCAGGATCTCAGACAAAGCGAAGGCCGGAATGTGAGCCATCTGGTCTGTTAAAAAAATGCAAGTAGTGGTCGAAATTTTTTTTTTGAAAGTCTAGTACAGTAAGACTTTACGAGCAAAGAAGAAAGAAATTTTGAATATTTAATATCAATTAATTGTGCATACAACTGCTAATCCTGGTTCAAGTCCGTAGAGCGTCTGTGAGTTCACCCAGTTCTGATGGGTACCTGGCTCACGTTAGGGAAAGTAAAGGCGGCTGAGATCACAGAAACAGGTAAACTCCTGTTCACTTTAGCCCCATGACCGTCAGATTCAGAAAGAATTTTACTTTAGTATCCATTAGCTTTTAGATTGACTGGCCACTGGTTTGTTTTTACGATTTGGCAAAGAATGTTAAGTTTAATTGATCAAGTGTTTGTGGTTAGATTTATCTTATTTTAAAACAACAACCTACAAACATAATATAAATTGAATTTTTGTCTTTGCTTTGGAAACCAATAATGTGTTTGGCGGTAATTTGCGAAGTATTTAATTACTTAGTGTTATAAATCTATTTCAATCATAACTCATAATAGTCATAATAAAGTTTCACAAGTCACATTATTACCCGTATGGATAACCATGGATAAAAATCGTAAAAGATGCCTGTTCAACCTCTCGTTATCTTCTGCCACAACCTGGTTGCAATAAAAAGTAAATAAAAGGAAAACTGACAGCTAGCAGTAGAGAAGTAGACACGATGTATACGGGTAGGGGGGCGGTCTACAGTTATACAATTTTTATTACTTATTTATTTTATATTCCATTTAAAATGTATAGGCTTTAGTGCTTAAATGTAAATTTTCATAACATCAAGAATTATATTTTACATGTATATTTTCAACGCATATTTATTCTTTGATTTAAAAAGGAAATATTTGAAGTTAACACGGGCTAAACCGCATATGTTCACTTTTTGAAATGTTTTATTTAGTGCCATATTCATGTAGTACTAGAAAATATCTATTACGTGTAACAATATGAAAGCGTAAAACCACACCTCGATTCCCCCAATATTTAAGATTTTAAAATCTATATATCAGGGGTACCTTAAAAAAGAATCCTATTACAGCTAGACCTGATGGGTAAGAAGCTGCATTTCTAAATGAGTTGGAACTGTTCTGGCGATGAACTATGTGCAGCTAAGCAGAGAACGATTCATATATATATATATATATATATATATATATATATATATATATATATAAATTAAAAAGAAATGTAAATGAAATTTTTAATTCCTTTTTTCTCTTTGCATTTAAGTTTATTTTAGAACTGTACAATGAAAAGCTAAATTACTAAAAACAGATACCTACGAATAATGTCAATAGAGAGATGATTTTTTATATTATATGAGATTTGAAAGAAAATGCCAATCAACCAAAAATTACAAAAATCAATTACAAAAACTTCCTAATTTCAAAAGACATATCAATGACACCTTATAAAGAAGAGCTCATCTGATTTAATGACCGCGGTATGTATACACACACACACACACACACCTACACACACACACATATATATATATATATATATATATATATATATATATATATATATATATATATATATATATATATATATATGTATGTATGTATGTATATATATATATATATATATATATATATATATATATATATATATATATATAATATATATATATATATATATATATATATATATATATATATATATATATATATATATAATTTTCTTGTTATTGTTTTGTATTTTAGTGTATGTTAAAACTGTATAAATAATTTATAATGTATATTTAATTAAAGCAAGCTAAATCACTACAAAAATTACATGTACTGTCGACAAAGAGATGACGTATATTGGTCCTAGGACCTTTGACCACAGGTGCTTTGACCATAGGAGGTTTGACCACAGGTGTTTTCTCAGCAGAGGGTCTTTGATCTCAGGTGGTTTGTCCAATGCTGTCCATGTATGGTAAGGATTTATTTTAAAAGCTGCTAAATTATATTTTAAATTTCGACATGATGTAATAATATGGTCAAACAGATGTACTGACATATATGCGTGCTATAGCACATCTGTCATTTAGTTAACCATTTTATGTATTACATCTTTGACTATATTGTTGGCAAGTTTTGTATCATTTTTTATCCTTTATATATGCTATGTATTTTCAAGTACTTCTACATCATTTATTTGTGAAACTTGTTATATGTCGCATTATTTGTGCTTCATTTATATTTAAAATAAATCTATGAAGCCTTTATGTGGAGACTAAAATTTAGTTCTTGGCTTTTTTTAAATACATGTTAATTTCTATTAACGTACTCACAGGAAACATGTATAAAATCGTGTTAATTGTATCACACCTATGATCAAAGCCGGACACAGCGCTTGTGATCAAACACTCGTTGACAAACCACCTGTGATCAAAAACCCTCTGCTGAGAAAACACCTGTGGTCAAACCTCCTATGGTCAAACCCCCTAAGATCAAACCCCCTATGGTCAAAGCACCGCTATGGTCAAACCCCCTATGGTCAAAGCACCGCTATGATCAAACCCCCTATGGTCAAAGCACCGCTATGGTCAAACCCCCTATGGTCAAAGCCCCTATGGTCAAAGCTCCGCTGTGGTCAAACCCCCTATGGTCAAACCCCCTATGGTCAAAGCACCTGTGGTCAAAGGTCCGCGCACCCGTATATTAAATAAGAGTTAGCAAAAATCCAATCAAACGATTACAAATATAGCCTAGTGTCAAAATCCAAATTCCAAATGACACCTAATGTCAATGAAGAAATGACAACTAGAGCTGATACAGTGTTCTGTGGCTATTGACAGATGAAACAAAATGCCAACTACGATGTTATCTTTCCAGAAAGCATGTAAATTATACGAGAAATAAAAATGATAATGCCAGTGGATAACAAACTCCTAAGTCAAATCTTACAATGTCACTAAAAGCTAATAGTAAAGATGACAACAAATGACAATGCCAGTAAATAAATAACACCTTTCATTGAATGATGATGACACAAACGATCAAAGCAATAACTCTCTAACCTCCATGGGAAAATGGATGTTGTCGATGATATTTTCTGAACCCCGGGTGTCAATAGCACCCCAGTGAAAGTGAAACTGGTCAAGCTTGTATGACGTAGGCAGTCCGCCATCTTTGATGTATATGCCTTGTCCTGTATACTCTACTTGCACTGTTTAAAAACAACAAACAAATACGCGAACTGTCGGAATTGAGAGCAATACATAAACTAACATCACTGATTGTTGTGAATACAAATCTAAAAACTCCATCTACCATCACAACAAACACACCAGAATGACCTCCATCTACCATCATAACTAACACCTGTATTACCTCCATCTACCCTCACAACTAACACACCTGTATGACCTACATCTATCATCACAACAAACACACCTGTATGACCTACATCTACCATCACAACAAACACACCTGTATGACCTGCATCTACCATCACACTAACACACCATTTTGACCTCCATCTACTATCACTACAAACACACCTGTATGACCTACATCTACCATCACCACTAACACACCTGTATGACCTACATCTACCATCACTACTAACACACCTGTATGACCTACATCTACCATCACTACTAACACACCTGTATGACCTACATCTACCATCACTACTAACACACCTGTATGACCTACATCTACCATCACTACTAACACACCTGTATGACCTACATCTACCATCACTACTAACACACCTGTATGACCTACATCTACCATCACTACTAACACACCTGTATGACCTACATCTACCATCACTACTAACACACCTGTATGACCGTCTTTGTTGAGAAGCTGCATGTACACACCATCCGTCCTGTTATAATGGGACAAATCAAAACGAGGTAGCAGAGGGTCGTACAGCACCTTTCTCGTCTTGATGTTGATGGGGGACTGTTTCACACCCCCACAGTTGGGGTACGTGTACTTCCAGTTCCATGGGTCTGTGGAGGGGGGGGGGAGTAGAAGAGAATGTCCACTTGTAAATGTTCCATTGTTTGAATAAAATAAACCAATGGCTCTAAACTAATAACAGCCGTTCTAAGTGGATACAATAATTTTTAATTTTTTTTTTTGGAATCATAAAAATTAAATAGCTGATAACATTTCACACGACATAACAAAAATAGATCTGGTTGATTCTTTTTTTACGACACATTCAATTTTTCGGTGCATTTCAGAATCATAAATTCTCCGACAATTTTCATAAGTCAGTAGAAATCATTTCAAAAATGTTTTCTCATACATTATTTTTTCTTCTTTTTTGTTGTTGTTGTCACTTCTCATTAATGTCAGCAGTCTATCATGATTATGTTCATTGTCACAGCTACTAGCATAAAACCAGACCATCCCTTATCTCCAGTGTATTTAGCTGGAAACGATGGTAAGTACAGTCAGATTAAAGACAACTAATTATAAACAAAATGTTATAAAACATACGATACTCACGATTAAATCTCCTTCGGTCGTAGCTCCAGGCTGAAATAGAATTATTTATTTTATTTTATTTCGTGAAGTGCCAGTAGATAAAATCACCTATATGTTTTTTGCGTTTGAAATAAAAAAAGCGGGAATGATCTCTACTAGACTTTCTCGTATATTCTGTTATATTCTTATCTATCTTTAAGTTTAAGGTGGGTGGCACCTTCTATAGCTCTGGAGCAATATAAAGTAAGTACAAACACGCACGTTTTTTTAAAGAAGACATAGAGAGAAAAATTCTTAGAATACGCTATATGAGATTATGAATTATCAAATTCTGAAGGTTTTTGACAAAGCGGAAATGGGTGAAAGCCCTAACTATAACGTACTCATTTTTTGCACTATTATTTACACTTTAAATAGAAACGAATCGAATAAAAAAACAACAACCGAACGTGATATAAAATGATCAAATTCTAAAGTGTTTTTTTTTTTTGAGAAATCGGTAATAGTACTAATTCCGGTCACCGGAAATCACTTAAAATTTGCAAGAATTAATAGAATAAGATTAGTACCTACGTTTGAAATAATTTCGTCTATTTAACTTAAACAGTACAGTTATCGGTATTTTAGACATTAGAAATAAACTACCACTTCCTTTTATTGAAGTCACTCAAGTTATTGGCTTTTGAGAAACCGAAAGTAAAGTACCACTTCAGAGTATCAAAAAAAAATGTAAGGAACACTACAAATTTGATAAAGTTCTCATATATGAAATTTTGTCTACCTAACCGAAACGGTGTTCATGTTTACGGACGGACAAGATGGAATGAAATACGTTTTTTTGGCTCCTGAAGTTGTGAAACGTCGAGATTTTTCAAAATTTTGATTTCTATTTTTGCAAGAATACGATTACGATTGTTCCGTATACGATAATGTAGGAAGGAATAAAAAGTCGAAAACTGTTAAATTTTCATTTAATTCTTGTGCACGATTAAAAATACTTCTTCTATACTATGTATACGAGAAAGTAAAAAGCTACAAATGTGATGTGTAACAAGTTATGGAGTAATTAAGGTAACTATTAATAACAATTGAGTCCTCGATTTAAATATCTAGTTTGAACTTAATTTTAGAAAATGATACACAATCATTATTTATTTTATACCATTTTACAATGATTTTTTACAATGATTTTTAAATTGTTTGATTGAACAAACTTACTTTCATCAACAGCCTTGACATAAACAGCTCAGACACACAGACACACAGACTTACAGACACACAGACATAATAGACACACAGCTGGGCGGACGGACAGAATTATAGACGGACAAACACAGACAAAACAGAGACAAACACATAGACACACACAGACATACAAATAAAAAACACAGACACACAAACGCACATACACACAGGCATATTGACACACTGACAAACATACAAATACACACATATACCAAGACGAACAGACGCACATACACACAGACGCACAGACGATCAAACATGTGATTTATCAAACTTACTTTCATCCATAGCTCTGATCTCGCCAACTCTGAACAGGAGAAGGGGGATAACCACGATGAACGAAACACCATTGAGAAGACTCGGCATTTTTTCTGTACAATAATAATTTGGGGCTTAATGAACTTTAATACATTATTTAACCAAAAACTTAAATAAAGCAGGAGCGGCAGCTATAGATTTTAGAGAAAGAGCTAGAACTAACATATTTTATATGTTTAGTATCATGTTTTTATGTGCTTGTTGAATTTTAAATAAGCACTAGAATACCCGTCATCCGTTGGATAACTGTGGGTTTCGGGGGTCATCCATCATAAAACATCACGTCTGTCACTCAGAGTCATAGCGACCCTTCCCGGGGATAAACTTTCGATTTGAACCCCCCCCCCAAGATTTCGGTTTTCAACCCCCCCCCCCCCCCCCTCAAACTTTTGATGTGCACCCCCACCCCCCACTCAAACTTTCCATTTGAACCCCCCTCAACCTTTCAATTTATTTTTCCAAACCATTTTGGCGCTCCAACATATGTCGACCGCACTACCAAGTTAGCTATTTACTCGTGACATTACAAGTGAAGTTTTATACTATACTTTGAGTCTCCTTACGCGCATAGATCTAGTTCTAACTCTAGTAGTAGTAACTTTCAAATTAAATTTTATCTTAAATTAGCCAAACAAAGATTTATATAAAATAAAGAAGGTCTGAAATTATCTAGATATAGATAGAATTATCTAGATCTAGTCTAGATTCTACGACTCTTTTGCTTAAGTCTTCTTATGTTTAGTTTTTCTTGCTAGACCTAGAATCTTAATCTAATCATTAGCTACGCTTATAGGCCCGGAGCGAGCATTTCAAAATTACCATATTCCAAACAAAGATTTATATAAAATAATAAAGGTCTAAAATAGTTTAGTATATAGAAAATCATTATTATCTAATCTAGATAGAAAAATATCTATATTTTAGATCTACGACTGAGCTATATCTAGAGTTTACGTCTATAATTTTGCACACTTAGCGGTATAGAAGCCGCGTATGAATCTTAAGTTATCCAAAATCCAGCATTTCCTAATTAGCATATTTCATAGCTATACAAACAAAGATTTATATAAAATAATAAAGGTCTAAAATAGTTTAGTATATAGAAACTCATTATTATCTAAATCTAGATAGAATTATCTATATTCTAGATCTACGACTGGTTTGCTAAAGTTTAGTTTTTTTTATTGTATTTATAACTAATAAATCTTTGATTTGACCTAGATTTTTAGATTCTAGATTCTAGATCTAGATCTATAAATAACTTTCCTTCGACAGCTGATCTTTAGATCTAGAGAAATTTATCGTAAAACTAAATGAAAAAGACAGTTGAAAATTGATATAAGTGTTGGAACGTAATAAATACAGCAAACGGACGTATTGTTTAAGTTATAGCCGGCAGAAAATTAGCTTTGTAACGTGTTAAACTTTCGAATGGGCCACAAAGTCTATGATGGAGTCCGCCATTTTTATTGTACCAAAAAAGTAAACACATCAAGGGACGTCACTATCCCCACAAAGTTTATTCAAAGTATTAACATTTTTAAAAAATACGGTTAATTTAACAATGAATAAATCAATAAATTAATTAACGTCTTTAAATAAATTTGTGATTAACAGTCTGTCTTAAAACAAAATTTTTTCTCTACCTACATACTATTTTACAGCTTTCCACGATGAGTGCAACCATGAGCAATAGTCAATCAGGCAAACAAAAAAACAAACAAAAAAACAAAAAAATAAATATTCAAACATGTAAACAAACTTGACTTTTAGTAGTATATAGATGAACAATACACAGATACGTTGCAAACACCATAGGTACTGAAGTCAAATATGTAAAAGGTCTAGATCTCAAGTCTATTGGATTCTATTTGAACACCGTTATTTTTTTTTTAAATTGTGTACGGTTTTATCTTTAACTATATTATATAATGTCGTAGGTTTAAGTTCTACAAAAATTTGTAACAAATAGCTCACCTTTAAAAAAAATCATTCAGATCTATACATAATAAAAATCTAAGCGACAATTCTCAATTCGTTTACCAAGTCTTTTCATTTCCTTTCTACCAGGCTACCTTTCATCGTACTGTGCAAAGCTGTTCTTGCAATTGCACTAATTGATAAACACTCGATTGGAATATCAGCAAGTCAACAAATACGCCGAGAGTTACCTAAACTCTAGTCTATAGTGAAGTTATAATAATAAAGTAAAGCCCCCCCCCAACCAGTGTTTCATCCAGACTTTTTTCTCAGAGGGGGGGGGGGGGGTGGGCACTTAAATTTGGGGGGGGGGGCTGACTAAAATTTCCGGGGGGGGGGGGACACTGTTAAATGTTTATATTTTCTATATAAATTCCATTTCGTTCAAGGGGGGGGGGTAGAGATGCCTGGAAGAAACTCCCCCCCCCCTTTAGACCTAAAGGTCTATAGTGCATATGAAGTCCAGGTTATGTTACTTGATCCGGACATATAAAGGGATGGTATGGTAAGCACTATGCCAAGCCGCTTGTACTTTCCACAAGGTGAGTCAGGTACCCATCAGAGCTGGGTTGGCTCAGGGACTTGAGCCCGGGATCCGAACTCAAGACTTAGCAGTCAAACGCTCTACTATTTGACCCCACCGTCCCACATTTTTAACAGGGAAATAAAGAAACATTTGCTTCTGGTTGACTATGCTTAATGTTTAATATGTTGAATATATTGGCCGGGAGTGGGGGGGGGGGGGGTCATCTAGTCTATGAAATAAGTAAATAAATGTCAGCATGCCTCATGCGCAGTCAAACAAAATGTTCAATCGACGAATATCTAAATATATGCGCGATGAGGTATTTTGTCTGCGAAGTTTTGCCCATGAGATTTTATCCATAGAACTTGAAAATATTTCTTTTGTGTTTAATGCTTTAGGCTACATTTCTATATATTTTCATCAAGCCTAAATTACTATAACTATAACCCACGTTGCACTTTTGTAAGACAAACATTTATTTTCTCTTACATTTTGTCATTATTTATTTACCCGTTTAGACCTAACTTCCTCATTTGTTTTGTTTACGAATACGTTTACCTGTTATCGTATGAAAACCCAGTTTCAATGAAAAAGCTGACCTTGTCTAATGTTCTCTCATACAATCAAAGCAACAACTTTCTTTCATTATCAATTCTATTTCCTTTCCATATAGTGGCATATAGCTTGTCATCGCGCTGTTGAACATTGTGTATGCGCGGTGCGAAACGGTGTTCACTGGTAAAACCCGCGCTAGAATTATTAGCACGTCTATTTTTAACAAATACAAACAATTTTTGCACCTGTTTGATTATTTTACTTGAAGCATCACAACACCGTATGTACAAATTTCAGACCGTGGTCAGAGATAAATCATTACGTAACAAAACATTCAATTAATTAAAAAAAAGAAACTCATTTAACTTACAATTTATTCACAAATTCATTACATAATCGCTAACATATTAGAAATAATCTCTAAATACAATGTACAGTAAATTATGTTTTTAAAAACTTGTCTTAAAAAACTAATTTTGAGGTATTAGTACATAGGCCTACTAAGATATTTTTTGTGCTACATCAATACAAATTATTGTTTTCTATTCAATCTATCCTATCAATTTCTATGGCTGTGTGGGTAATATTAAGAGAACGGGACAATATTTGCGTATTTTGACATTTAATAATGATTCGAATATAACTATACAACTAACTACAGTTAGACAGACGTGGTTTTACTTTCAATTCTAATGTAGGGGAAAGCACCTGTGCTAGAGGCAGATTGCCTCCCACACAAAAGCTATATACAAATCATACACAGGGGAGAGAATCATCAGTGACTATCTCGAGTGATAACCCATTATCAGTACATTCTGGATTGACAACTAGTATTCAAGTTAACACAATTCTATACATTGGAAAAAGACATTTAATTTACAAGGCTGTATCAAAATATTACTGACTACTTAAAAATTGCATTTATACAAAACGCGCAGCTAGAAATATGACTTAATACTTATAAATCTGTATAGTTAAAATGTATGAGAATATATATATATATATATATATATATATATATATATATATATATATATATATATATATATATATATATATGTATCTATATAAAATGAGTATATCAGTCTTGCTTAGTCTAGCTCTTTCACACATACTAGCTCAGCATAATTAACTTACTCAGATAACATTTTTAACTAGATTTAATGAACACAAATTGATGTAATCAAAAATTAATTACTTATAGGTACTCTCCTGCTCGTCAAAAACAAGGCGTGACACTCCTAACACTCCTAATACAACCGAGAAATTAACGATATCAATAACTAATCCAAATATGAGACTTGTCTTAAGTCAAACCGCAGTACGGCCTCCCCCACCCCCTCCTTCCACCACCATTAAACAAATTACCTTCGTTTAAACGTTTATGAAAAATGCTAACTAATACTGAGGTGCCTGGATCGTGTCTAGATGACATCTGTCTGTCACAATAGTACTAGTTTGTCTTATCAAATGAATAGCGGTTACAAGATTTAAATTATTTTTAAAAATCTTTAACACTAACACAAGTACAATGTAAGCTCCTTTTGGAACTGCCTGGGAAAATCACACTTTTATATTTAATGTAAATTTTATTAAATGTCAGTCCAGATCAGTAATAAAAAATATGATGGTATCGATTAAGATTTTCGACCAAAATTTAAGAAATTCAAATCATTATTATATTTTCAAAATATCTAATAGTCTAACCGTCAATCACAAAATTTAATTATCATTTAAGTTAATCTTTCCATTGGTTAAGTTTTTCTTACTTTAAATTAAAATATTTTTTTTAGAATTAATTAACATTTTGAAACGCTTAGTAATTTATTCAAACATTAATTAAAGCATTCAACAATTGAAAATACTTTCCCCTAAAACTGAGCTAGCAGGTAGACGTGTAAAATTATCTGGCTTGTTGTGACCCACGCATGCATGGCTGTGACCCCCACCCCCATGTTGTTTGAGGTTTGTGTCCCCTTCTTTGTGGTGTAGAA